GAGCAGCACAACATTGTATTATCAAAGGCTTTCATGGCCGGAATCACTGGGTTGTTCTAGGTTTTTTGGGGCTATATGGCCATGGTCTAGAGGCATTTTCTCCTGACGTTTCGCCTGCATCTATGGCAAGCATCCTCAGAGGTAGTGAGGTCTATTGGAACTAGGTAAGTGGGTTTATATATCTGTGGAATGACCATGGTGGGACAAAGAACTCTTGTCTGTTGGAGCTAGGTGTGAATGTTTCAACTGACTACCTTGATTAGCATTTGATGGCCTGGCAGTGCCTGGGGCAATTTTTTGTTGAGAGGTGATTAGACGACCCTGATTGTTTCCTCTCTGTTGTTTTGCTGTTGTTGTAGGTTTTTTCGAGCTATATGACCATGTTCTAGAGGCATTCTCTCCTGACGTTTTGTCTGCATCTATGGCAAGCATCCTCAGAGGTTGTGAGGTCTGTTGGAACTAGGAAAAAGGGTTTATATATCAGTGGAATGACCGGGGTGGGACAAAGAACTGACCACCTTGATTAGCATTTGATGTCTTTGAAGATGTTGGGTGTGGCTTGTTTGTGCCTGGGGCAATCTTTTGTTGAGAGGTGATTAGATGTCCCTGATTGTTTCCTCTCCGTTGTTTTGCTGTTGCAATTTTAGAGTTTTTTAATACTGGTAGCCAGATTTTGTTCATTTTCATGGTTTCCTCCTTTCTTTGAAATTGTCCACATGCTTGTGGATTTCAATGGCTTCTCTGTGTAGTTGGTGGTTGTTAGAGTGGTCCAACAATAAACCTCACTACCTCTGAGGATGCTTGCCATAGATGCAGGCGAAACGTCAGGAGAAAATGCCTCTAGAACATGGCCATATAGCCCGAAAAAACCTACAACAACCCAGCACACCATTTTTCATATCCTGATCTCTCCTTCTAAGCCATGCTCTCTCTCTCATGCACACATATATATGCACTTCTAAAGGCTGCAAAATTGGACTCAGAAGTGCTGACTTCAGAACTAAATATGCCTAGAAGAATTATTTTCTTTAAAAAAAAGACTGGGTCATTGGTGTCAGTAAATATTATCAGTGTCCATCGTCATCACTTTGCCCAAATCCAGTATCTGGACTCACATACACTCATCCATCAGCTAACACTATCGTGAAAAAAACCTAAAAACTGCCCATTCAGCTCCTTTGCTTTCTCAGATATGGACTCTGCCAGTTCAGGCCAACTTGCTCAACCAGAATGAGGAGGTGTGAGTCATCTTGCTCGCTGGCCAGTTAATATTTAATGTGGCAAGTCTACTGGACACAAGCCTTAGAAGAGTGGCAACTCCTAGTGGAGGGTGATTCCCACCCTACCAACCACATTTCCAACAGGGAAAGCTGGAAAATGAGATGAAATGAGGAATTTTACAATAGGCGAAAAAGTACTTTCATGTTTATTCAGATGTGGTCCTAGAATATTTCTTGACCTAGTATATTCAGGCCTATATTTGGGGCGGGATGCAAAAACCACAATAAGTGGACATGTCTGCTCCCTTTCAGTCGTAAGAGGTTTCACATTCCAGATCCTCAATACACAAACATTGGGGAGATGTACAGAGTAGTCCAGATCCAGCCTCCATTCCCAAGGGGCACAGCCCAGTTCCTGAAAATACAGTTGGCACCATACAATACAGTTCCTCTTGGCATTCTCTTGACCAAACGTAAAAACAGGAAATGCAGGATGGGATAAGCATAATAGTCATTTAAAAAATAAGAAAGACATTGCTAGTGTTTCAGATGCCCTGGGAATTTGGTCCAGCCCAGACGAAGTAATTGTGCATGCAGGGAAAACATGTTCTGCAAATAGGGAGAAAAAATATATATAGAAAAATTATATTTTTTTTACTGAAAAAACAGACTTAGCAAGTAGGTTTGAGGATTCCAAAACATCTTTGTAAAATGTATTGTCGAAGGCTTTCATGGTCGGAATCACTGGGCTGTTGTAGGTTTTTTTCAGGCTATATTGCCATGGTCTAGAGGCATTCTCTCCTGACATTTCGCCTGCATCTATGGCAAGCATCCTCAGAGGTAGTGAGGTCTGTTGGAACTAGGAAAAAGGGTTTATATATCTGTGGAATGACCAGGGTGGGACAAAGAACTCTTGTCTGCTGGAACTAGGTGTGAATGTTACAACTGACCACCTTGATGGCCTGGCAGTGCCTGGGGCAATCTTTTGTTGAGAGGTAATTAGATGTCCTTGTTGGTTTCCTCTCTGTTGTTTTGCTGTTGTAATTTTAGAGTTTTTTTAATACTGGTAGCCAGATTTTGTTCATTTTCCTGGTTTCCTCTTTTCTGTTGAAATTGTCCACATGCTTGTGGATTTCAATGGCTTCTCTGTGCCATCTGACATGGTGGTTGTTAGAGTCTACACAGGGACCACCAAACGCAGCATTGCCCAAACACGAATCAAGGAACATGAAAGGCACTGCAGACTACTTCAACCAGAGAAGTCAGCCATAGCAGAGCACCTGATGACCAACCTGGACACAGCATATTATTTGAGAACACAGAAATGCTGGACCACTCTCACAACCACCATGTCAGACTACACAGAGAAGCCACTGAAATCCACAAGCATGTGGACAATTTCAACAGAAAGGAGGAAACCCTGAAAATGAACAAAATCTGGCTACCAGTATTAAAAACTCTAAAATTACAACAGCACAACAACAGAGAGTAAACAATCAGGCACATCTAATCACCTCTCAACAAAAGATTGCCCCAGGCACTGCCAGGCCATCAAGGTGGTCAGTTGTAACATTCACACCTAGCTCCAACAGACAAGAGTTCTTTGTCCCACCATGGTCATTCCACAGATATATAAACCCTTTTTCCTAGTTCCAACAGACCTCACTACCTCTGAGGATGCTTGCCATAGATGCAGGCGAAACGTCAGGAGAGAATGCCTCTAGACCATGGCCATATAGCCTGAAAAAACCTACAACAACCCATCTTTGTAAAGTACTGTAGGGTTCTTGACATACAGAAGCGCATGAAGAGATTAAATCACATAAACATCCTCCTCTCTTGTACAAAAAAGTGATCTAATTGTGTAAACCAAGTTGGAACAGAACATGTATTTGTTAAGTATTCACACTATTAGTAAGATTTTGGTTATAATACACCAAATTAACTTTCAAGTTCTGATCACAGGATTTTTTTTGTGTGTGTTCTTGTTGTTTTGAGTACCATATTAGTAATACATTTTCCAGTAGCATGCTTCCTAGAACAAGACTGTAGTCATGTCAGAGCAGGATTTTCCCTACTAGCAGGCACATCTGAAAAGTATTCATAAGCTTGCAGAGACCTGACTCAAATGATTCCAAGTCAGACAACTGAACCATCAAGCTAAACACTGTCAACACTATGACTTGCCATTGCCAACACAGACATCAGGATTAACCCTGAGACCGTTTTGACACAAAATGGGTACATGAAACTACGTGGTAGTGTCCGACTCTAGGGGTTGGTGCTCATCTTTATTTCTAAGCTGAAGAGCCGGCATTGTCCGCAGACACCTCCAAGGTCATGTGGCCGGCATGACTGCATGAAGCACCATTACCTTCCCACCAGAGCGGTACCTATTGATCTACTCACATTTACATGTTTTCAAAGCATTTGCAAAGTTGGAAATTGCTGAATCAGAAAATGAGAGTTCTGCAAGCTCCATTAATAACCCAGAGGTTGAGGCAGAGAGCCAGCATGGAATAACAGTTTGAGTGTTAGACTGGGAAACCCAGATTCAAACCCCACTGCAACATGGAAACCCACCAGATAACCTTAGGCAAGTCACACAGTCAGCCTGAAAAGACAATGGGATGCTCCCACTGAAGAAATCTTGCCAAGAAAAGGATCAAAAATGACATACAACAACAAATGTTTACGTCACAGCTTTTTTTGCTCCTTTGTCAAAAAAACTTGCTACTATATTAAAGTGGGGCCTTCCAATATTGTATTGTCGAAGGCTTTCATGGCCGGAATCACTGGGCTGTTGTAGGTTTTTTCGGGCTATATGGCCATGGTCTAGAGGCATTCTCTTCTGACGTTTCGCCTGCATCTATGGCAAGCATCCTCAGAGGTAGTGAGGTCTGTTGGAACTAGGAAAGTGGGTTTATACATCTGTGGAATGACCAGGCTGAGACAAAGGACTCTTGTCTGCTGGAGCTAGGTGTGAATGTTTCAACTGACCACCTTGATTAGCATATAATGAACTGACAGAGCCTGGGGCAAACTATTTGTTGAGAGGTGACTAGATGTCTAGACTACACAGAGAAGCCATTGAAATACACAAGCATGTGGACAATTTCAACAGAAAGGGGGAAACCATGAAAATAAACAAAATCTGGCTACCAGTATTAAAAAAAACTCTAAAATTACAACAGCACCACAACAGAGAGGAAACAAACTAGGACATCTAATCGCCTCTCAACAAAAAGTTTGCCCCAGGCTCTGTCAGACCATTATATGCTAATCAAGGTGGTCAGTTGAAACATTCACACCTAGCTCCAGCAGACAAGAGTCCTTTGTCTCTCCCTGGTCATTCCACAGATATATAAGCCCACTTTCCTAGTTCCAACAGACCTTACTACCTCTGAGGATGCTTGCCATAGATGCAGGCGAAACGTCAGGAGAGAATGCCTCTAGACCATGGCCATATAGCCCGAAAAAACCCACAACAAGCCTTCCAATATTGTTGGACTGGCACACTCATGGTCTCTCAGCACTGCATAGGCTGGAAGTGGACTGATGAGAGCAGCAATCTAACAACATATTGAAGTCACACAATATATATCAGGAGAGAAGAGCATCACCCAGCACACACTACAAAAGAGCCACAGACACAGTTTAGTGCTAGCCTGATCCATCAGTTAAATGAAACCTCATAACCTTCATGTGTAGACAGTGCTATACAAAACACCTTTTGCTTTCATGCCCTCCACTCTGCAAACATCAAGGATAATATCTCACCTTTTTAAGGTTGCCAGCACGAGTTCCGATAAAGACAACAGAGTGGCCACGATAGGTGTAGGCTGCAACGCTAGCCATGCCCTCCGTCTTCTCCTCAAGCAGGGGTCGTCCCTCAATGACCTGGAGTCCCCCCAGGGGTTGATTCAACACCAACCCACAGAAATTCCCATTGATCTGCATCGGCTGGAAAACAGGGAGGGGACAGGTTTTAATGGTCAATAGTAAATTCTCCCTTTCCGTGTATTACAAAGGGTGGGTGGGGATCTATATTGGTATTTCATACCTGTATCCCATCTCCAATATATACGATTGTGTGCCTACAAACTCCTGGATATGCCATCAGCTGGAGACCCCTCCCCCAGCACTCTGGGCCAGAATGATGAGAGGGGAGACCAGAGGACAGTTCCATAATAATAATAATAATAATAATAATAATAATAACACTTTATTTATACCCCGCTACCATCTCCCCAAGGGACTCGGTGCGGCTTACATGAGGCCAAGCCCACAATACATCAATAATAAAAAACAATAACAAGTAATACCGGGGAGGCCCTGCTCTCGATCCCACCAGCATCGCAGGCACGGTTGGTGGAGACGAGAGAGAGGGCCTTTTCGGTGGTGGCCCCTCGACTCTGGAACTCACTCCCTAAAGACATCAGACAGGCCCCAACCTTGGCAGTCTTCAGGCCCCAACCTTGGCAGGAGGAGCTTGAAGACGTGGTTGTTCCAGTGTGCCTTCCCGGAATAATGATCCTATAGCACTTTGTCCTCCAAAGCACTTTACATTTTTTAGATCTGCTCGTATGCCACAAAGCCACTATCACCTTCCGTCCATGTCCCAGCATTATTTCCATTTTAACTTTACATTTGGCCTTCCCACTGTTGTCTTATTGATAATGTTGTATATTTTATTATCTATGATTTATTTTAATTGCTTGTATTGTTGTTGTTTTGCTTGTATTGTTGTATTTGGGCTCGGCCTCATGTAAGCCGCACCGAGTCCCTTGGGGAGATGGTAGTGGGGTGCAAATAAAGTGTTATTATTATTATTAATAATAATAATACAAAACAATAAAAAATAAAACTCATAACAGAAAATAAGCAATAAACATTAACAGTAGCACAACGACGTTTAAAAACCTATGTCTGGAACAAATGTAATAATTAAAATTTAAAAATAATGCTGAGCATGAGCAGGTGAGAAATGACTAGGATAGAGTTTTCAGAGAGGGATGGGCGTGCAGACACTCCTAGATCAATAATAAAGTGCATTTAGAGGGCATATTGCTGGGAGTTTCCTTATTCTGGGAAGGCACACTGGAACAACCGCGTTTTCAGGCTCCTCCTAAAGACTGCCAGAGTTGGGGCATGCCTGATGTCCTCGGAGAGTGAGTTCCAGAGCTGAGGGGCCACTACCGAGAAGGCCCTCTCCCTCGTCCCCACCAATCGCGCCTGCGATGGAGGTGGGAGCGCGAGCAGGGCCTCTCCAGATGATCGAAGGGATCGTGTGGGTTCATACACAGAAATGCGGTCACACTGGTAGGTGGGTCCCAAACCGTTCAGGGCTTTGTAGGTAAGAACCTGCACTTTGAATTGGGACCGGAAAATGAACAGCAGCCAGTGGAGCTCCTTAAACAGGAGGGTTGACCGCTCCCTGTAAGGAGCACCAGTTAACAACCTGGCCGCTGCCCGCTGAACCAATTGACATTTCCGGGTCATTTTCAAGGGCAGCCCCATGTAGAGTGCATTACAGTAATCCAATCTGGAGGTGACTAAGGCATGGACCACCCATCGTATCTCCTGGATATGCCATCAGCTGGAGACCCCTCTCCCCAGCATCACCTGTCACTCTGGGCCAGAGTGAAGAGAGAGGGGGCCAGGGGACAATTCCATCTTGTCTCCTGTGCTATTCTAATAATATAATATACTAGCTGTGCCCTGCCACGCGTTGCTGTGGCCTATAGTAAAACTTATCAAAGTTGAGGTAGATATCTGGACTATTATGAAAGAGAGGTACCTACCTATTCCTTCCCCCTTTTCCTCCCCCTTTCTCTCCTTTCTTCCTTCTCTACCTCTTTCTTTCTTTCCTTCTTTCACTACTGGGTTTCATCCTTCTCTCTTTCCTTCATTCCCTCCCCCTTTCTTCCTTTGCCTTTCTTCCCTCCCTGTTTGCTTCCTTCTTTCACTTTTTATTTCCTTTTATTTCACCACCATCATAACAATAACAATAATGCAATGCATTGCCTCTGGGACCTGACACCTCTCCCATTCCCCCTAAAAGGGTCTCATAGGAATAATAATAGCATCATAATAATAATAGAAATAACAACCTTTACCCGCCACGTGTTGCTGTGGCCAACCTTCCCTCTTTCTCTCCTTCTTTCCCTCCTTCCTTCCTTCCTTCCCTCCCATCTTTCCTTCTCCTCTTCCTTCTCTATCTCTTTCCTTCCTTCCCCCTTTTTCTTTCTCTTCTAGTCTCTTTTCTTCCTTCTCTCTTTCCTACTTTCCTTCCCTCCCTCTTTCTCTACATCTTCCCCCTTCCTTCACTCCCTCTTTCCTTCCTTCATTCCCTTTTTTCTTTCCTTCTCTCCTTCCTTCCTTCCCCCCTTTTTCTCTTCTGGTCTCTTTTCTTCCTTCTCTCTTTCCTTCTTTCCTTCCCTCCCTCTTTCTCTACATCTTCCCCCTTCCTTCACTCCCTCTTTCCTTCCTTCATTCCCTTTTTTCTTCTCTCCTTCCTTCCTTCCTTCCCCCTTTTTCTTTCTCTTCTGGTCTCTTTTCTTCCTCTCTACCTCTTTCCTTCCCTCCCTCTTTCTCTACATCTTCCCCCTTCCTTCACTCCCTCTTTCCTTCCTTCATTCCTTTTCTTTCCTTCTCTCCTTCCTTCCTTCCCCCTTTTTCTTTCCCTCCCTCTCTCTCTCATTTCTTCCTTCTCTACCTCTTTCCTTCCTTCCCCCTTTTTCTTTCTCTTCTTCTTTCCCCCTTTTTCTTTTACCCCTTTCTCTTTCTTCCTTCTTCCTTCCTTCCCTTCTTTCCTGGATTTTGACAGGGCGGGAAGGGGCGGTGGGGTTTGGAGGTGGCGTGAAGTAAAAGGAGGTAAGATTGGGGCAGGGGGGTGATGCGGGTGTGTGTGCGGCGGCGGGGGGAGTGGGGTTGCGTGTGTGGGGGGGGAGTGATGGAGCGTGGGGTTGCGTGTGTGTGTGCGGCGGTGGGGGGGAGTGATGGAGCGTGGGGTTGCGTGTGTGTGTGCGGCGGCGGGGGGAGTGATGGAGCGTGGTTGCGTGTGTGTGTGCGGCGGCGGGGGGAGTGATGGAGCGTGGGGTTGCGTGTGTGTGTGCGGCGGGGGGAGTGATGGAGCGTGGGGTTGCGTGCGTGCGGCAGCGAGGGGAGTGATGGAGTGTGGGGTTGCGTGTGTGTGTGCGGCGGCGGGGGGAGTGGGGTTGCGTGTGTGTGTGCGGCGGCGGGGGAGTGATGGAGCATGGGGTTGTGTGTGTGTGTGCGGCGGCGGGGGGAGTGGGGTTGCGTGTGTGTGTGCGGCAGCGGGGGAGTGATGGAGCGTGGGGTTGCGTGTGTGTGTGCGGCGGTGGGGGGAGTGATGGAGCGTGGGGTTGTGTGTGTGCGTGCGGCAGGGTGTGTGTGTGTGAAGCGGCGCGGCGGGGCTTGGAGTGGGCATGGCTTCCGCAGAGGGAACATTGGCCGGAAGACTGTGTGCGCGCGCCAGGGAACTTGCGGCTGGGCACCAATGCGCATGTTCAGTTGTTTTGCCGTTTTGTGAGTGTGTTGTTGTGTTGTTTTTCATTTTGAGTAGATACGTTTGTACCTTGTGGGTTGTGTTATGGGCATGGGAATTTTGGTTAAGTTTCGTTGGGGGGTTTGTGAGTTTTGTTGTTTTGCCGTTTTGTGAGTGTGTTGTTGTGTTGTTTTTCATTTTGAGTAGATATGTTTGTACCTTGTGGGTTGTGTTATGGGCATGGGAATTTTGGTTAAGTTTCGTTGGGGGGTTTGTGAGTTTTGCTGTCCGGTTGAACCAACCTAACAGATTTATATATATAGATTGTATGGAATTATACTTTGTAAGTATACAAGGTATATATACACTTTGGTTGATGTAATGAATTGAGGATGGAGTATAAGATTATTGAAGGTATTGACGTATTCTAAGAAAACCAATAAAAATATTTGAAAATATATATATTGTATATACTTGAGTATACGCCGACCCAAATATAAGCCGAGGCACCTAATTTTATCACAAAAAACTGGGAAAGCGTATTGACTTGAGTATAAGCCGAGGGTGGGAAATGCATCCACTATGGGTCAATTTCAAAATAGAAATAGATACCAATAAAATTACATTAATTGTGACATCAATAGGCTAAATGTTTTGGAATATTTACATAAAACTGGAATTTAAGACTGTCCAACTCTTATTAAACCATTATTCTAACCTCCTTCAGTGTAAATGTTGGTATTATTAAAATAATAAATATAATAAAAATAATAGAGTAAAATAATAATGAGAATACAGGTAATCAAATCAAACAGACCAATTGGTCAACAATAGATGATTACATGGAAACAAATTATAAGAACTTATAACAGTACTGAGGATATAATCAAGATGCAAACTGGATTAAATTTAAGACATGGACTTAAGGGATGACTGAACGGGCAGTATCAGAAGGAAGTCCAATTTTTATTTTTATTTTTATTCTTATTTTTCATTTTATTTTTTGTGTGTGCGATTTCTTGTTGTTATTGGATTTTTGGGATTTTAGAATTTTTCTTTTTTTTCTCTTTTAGGAAATTTTTTCTAATATTTTTTAAATATTTTTTTTCTTTTTCCACATGGGTCTATGGGTACTATCTTCTTAATTTTCCTACTTTTCTATCTTCTTGGATTATTCCCCCACTTTCGCTGTTATTATAAAACTCAATAAAAATTTATATATATAATAGAGTAAAATAATGAAAATGCAATAAAAACGGTAATAATAGAGTAAAATAATAAATGTAGTAATAATAGGGTAAAATACTGTAAATGTAATAATAATAATAATAATAATAATAATAAATAGATTAAAATAATAAATGTAATAATAATAGAGCAAAAATAACTAAGTAGACATTAAGTCCAGTCATATCTGACTCTGGGGTGTGGTGCTCATCTCCATTTCTAAGCCGAAGAGCGCGTTGTCCGTAGACACCTCCAAGGTCATGTGGCTAGCATGACTGCATGGAACGCCGTTACCTTCCCGCTGGAGCGGTACCTATTGATCTACTCACATTTGCATGTTTTTCGAACTGCTAGGTTGGCAGAAGCTAGGGCTGACAGCGGAAGCTCACGCCGCTCCCCGGAATCGAACCTACGACCTTTCGATCAACAAGCTCAGCAGCTCAGTGCTTTAACCCACTGCGCCACCGGGGGCTCCAATAATAGGGTAAAATACTGTAAATGTAATTATAATAGAGCAAAATAATAAATAGAATAATAGAGCAAAATAATGTAAATATAATAACAATAGAGTAAAATAATAAATGTATATATTTACATTACATGTAATATTACTAATAATATTACAATATAACGGTATTGTGCAATATAGTAACATATACTGATATTGTACTATGCTAATAATATAATATATTGTATGAAAATATATATTGTAAGCCGCTCTGAATTCCCTTCGGGGTGAGAAGGGCGACATATAAATGCCGTAAATAAATAAATAAATAAATAAATAACCACAAAGTACCGTGTTGATGCAGGGCAACTCTTTGTTGAGAAGCCACGGGAGGGAGAGCCGCCCTTCGCCACGATAACATGACTGGATGCGCTCCCGGATACGCTGGTTGATCTCATCCAGGGTGAAGAGGCAGAGGAGACTTTCACGAGGTGGGGTGGCTCGGTTTTTCTGGCCTTGTGAGAAAGCAGCATATAATACATCCTGCCCTTCGGCAATGCCCAGCGACTGGGCCAGCTGCCGACCCGCTTTGGCCAGCTGAGCAGCTTGCACGAGACGGTACTCCACGCCATCCTTGGAGCAACCCAGGGGAAATTCCACATAGGAGTAGAACTCTGTGTCGTTGGCACACAACCGTACGATCTTTGAGGAAAAGAACCGCTCCCCGCCAGTTACCCCTGGTCCAACTGGACCTCCTGCTGGCTCCAAGGGAGTCTGAGCAGTGTCTAGCTGCAAGGTGAGGAAATAAACAAACCCGCCAGACACAAACGCCGACACATAATAGATGTCAAAGGCAGGATAGAGTGAAAGAGTGTCCGAAGGAACTTTGATCTGAGAGGAGACAAACTCGTCCTGATAAACAAGGCTGAACATCTCAGGACTGTTGGCATTGGGGGTCAGGCGGCGGCTGGAGAGAGTGGGGAAGTACTCTGAGCGCCCACCTATGGAGGTGCCCACAAAGAATTGGCTGGGCTCTTTCGGCTGTTCCACAATCACACCGACCATGGCATCTGGTTCGCGACCACCCGAAAGATAGTGCTCTTTGCGCTGGTGTGGCTCACCCAGCTTGGCCAAATCTTCCAACTGCAACAACTGGCAAACTCCTTGCCAAACGCTGCCACAAGCCACCAAGCGATTACCAGCATAGTCAATCAGCAGCAATTTATTGACATTGTCAGCAGGGGAGAGCCGGTGAGCACAGAGCCGGACTCCAGGGGGAGGGTAACATCGAGGGTCATCTGGTACAGGGCCAGTCGTATGAGCCCGTAGTTGGGTCAGGTTAGCCGAAAGCTTGTAGATGCGGTTGACAGCCCCAAGGTAGACCTCTCCCATGTCATGGTGGACAGCTAGATGCGTGAGGGCCACATCTGAGACAGTGAAGGCAGTGTGAGTGGGCAGGAGGCCTAGGACAGATGGCAACAAGGAGAGGAGAACAGCAGCCGTAGTGGTGAGCAGCTGCCGCCACCACCACATGATCACCGGGGACTTGCCTGGGGTCAGGCCGGGCCAGACAGAGGAAGCTCATTCAGCCTGCAAAGAGGGGAGAGGAGAGAGGGGTTAAGGGATGGTTTGCACTGCACAAAGAAATGGGAAAACAAAACTTTAGTACAGGAGATATTAAAGGCAGACACACTCAAATTCTAAAACTACAATCTTATATATGAAGAGTCACAACTGTGAGGCCACTCTAGATGTTACTGAATTGCAATGTTCAGGAGCCCTAGCCAGGTATAAGCATGGGTGAGGAGTGTGGGCTTCATCGTTCAACAAGTTGTAAAATACTACATGATTACTACACCAGCCATATGTACAGGACTAACCTTTAAGCCAGTGGTTCTCAACCTTCCTAATGCAGCGACTCCTTAATACAGTTCCTCATGTTTTGGTGACCCCCAACCATAACATTATTTTCGTTGCTACTTCATAACTATAATTTTGCTACCATTACGAGTCATAGCATAAATATCGAATATGTAGGATGTATTTTCATTCACTGGACCAAATTTGGCATTTGGGAGTTGTAGCTGATTTTGTCATTTGGGAGTTGTAGTTGCTGGGGTTTTGTAGTTCACCTTCAACCAAAGAGCATTCTGAATTTCAGAAATAACAGAATTGGACCAAACTTGGCACACAGAACTCCCATGACCAACAGAAAATACTAGAAGAGCTTGGTGGGAATTTAAAACTACGGCCGGGCCAAATGTAATGATTAAAAAAATTAAAAACGCTGAACATGACAGGTGAGACTGATAGGTTTTTGGAGAAAGGTGCGGTGTGCAGACAATCTTAATCTCTAGCAAAGTGCAATTGGGACATGATGCTAGGAGTTTCCTATTCTGGGAAGGCACACTGGAACAACCACGTCTTCAAGCTCTTCCTAAAGACTGCCAATGTTGGGGCTTGTCTGATATCCTTGGGGAGAGAGTTCCAGAGTCGGGGGGCCACCACGGAGAAGGCCCTACAACTCCAAAACCTACGATCAATGCCCACCAAACCCTTCTAGTGTTTTCTGTTGGTCATGGGAGGTCTGTGTGCCAAGATTGATTCAATTCCATCATTAATGGAGTTCAGAATGCTCTTTGATCATAGGTGAACTATAAATCCCAGCAACTACAACTCCCAAATGACAAAATTAATTTTTTGAGTGAAGGACATACATTGGGTTGTTAGGTGTCTTGGGTCCAAATTTGGTGTCAATTCGTCCAGTGGTTTTTGAGTTCTGTTAATCCCACAAACGAACATTACATTTTTATTTATATAGATTTCCTCAATGTGCTTCTCAGCAATGCCACCCCAAGGCAAAATATTGAAGGTGTCCATTTAAATACAACACAACCAACAAAGAAAAACAAATCTGCACAGAGCTGCACACTGCTTATGGTCTAATTTAGACTGAGTCCACAGCCATGATGTGTGCGCCATTTTAGCACATCAGCACAACCCTGGCAAGGGCTACCTGGCATGCCTAAAGTGTGCATGAGATTCCTCTGAGTCCTGATTTAAATCTGATGCCAGGCATGTAAAAGGCCACAATGGGAAGTCTTTTCTCTCTGCCTAGATCATGTCCTATTTGGGCCTCAAAGACTGGTTCATAGAGGCATGTCTATCATCTGACAATGCCATCCTCTAGGGATTTTTTTTTTTTTTTTTGCATATGCAAGTGAACTACTATAGAGAGAATGACACATTTTCATATCACCTCAAACACAATGCTTTCCACTCGATTAGCTTCATACATCCAGCTGGAGAATCAAATTATGAGAAATCAAGCAATGTGCATGCATGTGCATACCAACCCTCATGAGCTCTCATCCTTCAACTGTATGGGGTTGTAATGCCCCTATGCTATTCAGGAGGCTGATATACCATTAAAGATTTTTCTCAACTTCCCTTCTCAAACAACACAACATCCCCAAAATTGATCTCCATAAATATTTAAGAACGTAGCCACTTCCCACAGAGCATGAATGCAAAATCACACCTATTAAGCTTCATGCAGGGTATCTATCTGTTCTCAAGTTCTCAAATATGACAGCAAATCAAACTGTGAGCATTAAAACAAAAATACGTAACGATGTGTTTTATGTGCATGTATGAGCATGCGTATCCTATTACCACTGATTATAAGCACAACTGGCCAGCAGGAATGTCTGGGCTTGGCTTCATATAAGTTGCCCTGAGTTCCCGTTGGGGAGATGGTGGTGGGGTACAAATAACATTTATTATTATTATTATTATTATTATTATTATTATTATTATTATTATTGGACAGATTTCATGTACATCCCAGAAACCTTGTCGGGAATTATTCAAAAGTGTGGATAACACTGTGCTCTGCTTCCCATAAGTGTTAATCATTTTCAAAATCTTTAATAAGTAATGTATTCTCAGCCTTAATGTCATCTCTCTATTATTATAACTGTTAAGTACCTGCAGATTTGATCACACAGCCTTGCTAAGATAACAGAGAAATGTCTGAGAATATGGACATTATTCAGATCTACTTCCCTTGCTAAGATGACCACATTTCAACTTGGTGACTCACACCATGGAAAACTGCTTACCATATATATATATATAATTTATTTATTATTCTAACTTATTATTCCCCTAGGGCTCGGAGCGGCTATATATATACACACACACACAAGCCATCCTCTGCCACGTGTTGCTGTGGCCCAGTCTATGTATATGTGTGTGTATATTTATATTTCTGTATTTATATTTGTGTTTATGTGGTTTTGCACAAGTATTGTAATGTATTTTTTATTTTTTGGCTTTTTCATGGCCCACCAGGTGTCTCCCAACTCTAGGACTCTCCGATTCTATATTATTCTCTTCCCTTCACCAGTTTTCCCCTTTCTTTCTTTCTTTCTTTCTTTCTTTCTTTCTTCTTTCTTTCTTTCTTCTTTCTTTCCTTTGTTCCTTATTTCCTTCATTTTATTTCCTCCCTCCCCTCCTTCTTTTCTTCCTTTTCCTCCTTCTCCTTTCCTTCCTTCATTCTTCCTTCTTTCTTACTCTTTTCTTATTCCTTTTCTCTTTCCTTCCGCTTTCTTTCACCCTCTTCCTCATGTGGACATGTTTGTAAGGGATTTAAAGGGCTTTTTTTTGTTTGGGGGGAGCGGGCGTGGGGAATGTGGAGCCCAAAGTGGGCAGAGTTGCTCCCTGGCCTTATCATGAGCTTCGTATTCCATCATGTCACCCACAAACGGGGGGGGGGGGGGGGGCAGCCACTCCTGCAGTTAGACTTGCCTTACAATCCTCTGGTCTTGGAGAAAGAGTTGCCTGTTAGCCACATGGGCTTCATGGAGTCGCTGTGGTGGCTCCAGCTGCTGCCAGGGCTTGCCTCGCCAAGCCCCCACCCCTCCGTTGGGCCAGGCCTTCTCCTTCCTTCCCTCTTCCCATTCCTCAATCCCTCCCCTTCAGATTTGAGCGCCCAAAGACGCCGACGCAGTCACGTCACGGCGGGCCTCCCGGACTCTTCCCGCTCTTTCTTCGGAGGCTTTTTCTTGAGCAGAGGCCTGGCGGCCATCTTGGGCTCCCTTAGATTTAGGCCTCTTGGCCTTCTTCTTAGGAGGGCCAGCAGATATGGCCAGGAAAGGTAAGTCAGTGCGCTCCGCGGGTTGCCCTGAGGCAGGGGGAGGCAAAAGGGCTCTTTCATAGAGCGCTGCTCTGAGTCTAGAGACTCTATTTTTCCTCGTCTGAGGTGTAAAGGAAAGGCAAATTGAGCAGGATTGGGTGAGGTGAGCCTCGCCCAAGCATGTGAGGCACAAAACATGGCCATCCGTGTCTGGCAGAATGTTGGGACATTTTGAACACTTCTTGAACGAAGTGGTGGCCATGTTGGAAAATTATCAAGAAGAGGTAGTCAGGGCCGGTCCGGGTTGAAGTACCTTAGTAAGATCTGGTCGTGGTAGCAAGAGGGCTTAGCACAAGGATCGTCAGGAAATCAGTCCAAATCAAAAGGCCAGAAGTCAGTCAGATAGTAGAAAAATGGAGTTAAAGTCACCGAAGGTTCTCAAAGCTGCTTGTCACGCGAGCGGATTAAGAGAACCGTCGGCTAGTCCCGCCCACGGGCTATATATACTCGGGGGGGGGGGGCCTAGCTGAGGGCTAAATGTTACTTTTACTTTCTAGAAGGTTCCGTAAGCTGCACTGCGCATGCGCAGAGATACCACTCGTACGATTCACAGTGACTACGACAGGAAAGGGACTCCACGACGAGGCTTCTCTTCCCTCACAACAGCTAGTGCTTCATTCTTCTCGAGCAATGGGGAGAGGGGCTTTTGCGCATGCTCTGTAAGGCATTTTTCTTTTTGGGGCGTTTTAAGTTATTTCCCCTTTATTTTTTACACTTTTTTTGTTTGAAAGACATAGATCGGATTAGAATGTGTTTCGCTGCCAAATTTGGTGTCAATTTGTCCAGTGGTTTTTGAGTTCTGTTAATCCCATAAACGAACATTACATTTTTATTTTTATAGACAGGCTGAACACATACTCCAGCACAGTGGTTCACAACCTGTGGGTCCCCAGATGTTTAGGTCTTCAAGTCCCAGAAATACTAACAGCTGGTAAACTGGCTGGGATTATTTCTGGGAGTTGTAGGCCAAAACACCCAGAGGACCCACAAGTTGAGAACCACTGGACCATAGTGTTGAATATGTCTATGCATAGGCGCAGAGAAAGAGTGAACTAGTGCTCTCCCTCCCCAACTCAAAGTCTGGACCCAGTTTCCACAATGCATAATTTGTGAGAGATCAGATGGAACACAAATCTCAACAACCTATGAGTTGGGTTGTTGTAGGTTTTTTCAGGCTATATAGCCCTGTTCTAGAGGCATTCTCTCCTGACGTTTTGCCTGCATCTATGGCAAGCATTCTCAGAGGTACTGAGGTCTGTTGGAACTAGGAAAATGGGTTTATATATCTGTGGAAGGACCAGCGTGGGACAAAGAACCCTTGTCTGCTGGAGCTAGGTGTGAATGTTTCAACTGAACACCTTGATTAGCATTTGATGGCCTGGCAGTTTTTTGGTGTGGCTTGCTAGTGCCATCCTCACTACCTCTGAGGATGCTTGCCATAGATGCAGGCGAAACGTCAGGAGAGAATGCCTCTAGAATATGGCCATATAGCCCGAAAAACCTACAACAACCCAGTGATTCCGGCCATGAAAGCCTTCAACAATACAACCTGTGAGTTGCCAGCTCTGAGTCCTGACCAGCTTTCCATGCACAAACTTTTACAACCCACCTTCGAACCTGATATCTTTGAACTAGGATTAGTAGAGAATGAACCACATTCAAAGCAAGTGCACTACAAAACTGCTGCGAGGCATCGTTTTTAAAAAGGAGGACGCGGTGTGAAAAGGATCTGTTTTGCGGTTTCTCGGAACGGGGGGAGGAAGGGGTGTTTCCCATTGGACAATAAACTGGAGGAAATATGTAAACACACACATACAACAGATCATAAACTCACAGCATGCACAAGATTCCTATGCCACCATTATATACTAACTAGCCGTGCCCTGCCACGCGTTGCTGTGGCCCAGTCTAGTGATCTGCAATATAAAGTAATGAGAAAGCATTGGTTTCTAATATATGTAATTTCTTTATGCTTGTGGGTAAACAGTATTTCTTCTTGTTCCTTTATCAGTGTTGATGTAGAGATTTTTCTGGTTTGCCTACTCTGGAACATGCAACAGATAATTGTTCTTCTTTAGAGGTCCCTTTCAAATCTATGACACTATATCTGTGTGTGAATCATATATATCTATCTATATCTATCGCTGGATGGCTCTTTGTCGGGAGGGCTTTGATTATGTTTCTTGCCCTGGTGAAGGGAGCTTGGACTGGATGGCCTTAAGTATTTCTGTTGCTCATGGGGATTCTGTGTGGGAAGTTTGCCCCAATTTGTCGTTGGTGGGGTTCAGAATGCTTTTTGATTGTAGCTGAACGCAGGCATGTAGCTGGGGGGGGGGGGCTTGAGGGGCTTCAGCCCCCCCCCCGAAATTCTCATGGTGGTTCGCAAAAGGCCTTACTGGTGCATTATTTAAACTGTTATGTTTATTCATATCATGATCTGATCACCATACTCCATATATCCCATATGCATGGGGGTATTGGGGTAATGATACAAAAGGTTTGCTAGGGTAGACCCTCTTTCACTCAGACTCAGCCCCCCCCCCCCTCCCCCAGAATCGGAATCCTTGATTATAGGTGAACTATAAATCCCAGTAACTACAACTCCCAAATGTCAAGGTCTATTTCCCCCAAACCCCATCTGTGTTCATATTTCGGCATATGGAATATTCGTGCCAAGTTTGGTCCAGATCCATCGTTGTTTGAGTCCATGGTAGTCTCTGGATGTAGGTGAACTATAACTCCCAAACTCAAGGTTAATACTCACCAAACCCTTCTAGCGTTTTCTGTTGGTCATGGGAATTCTGTATGCCGCAGTTGGGTCAACTCTATCATGCTATTTGATTGTAGGTGAACTATAAATCCCAGCAACTACAACTCCCAAAACACAAAATCAATTTTTTTGAGTGAAGGACATACATTGGGTTGTTAGGTGTATGCTGTCCAAATTTGGTGTCAATTCGTCCAGTGGTTTATGAGTTCTGTTAATCCCACAAACGTACATTACATTTTTATTTATCTATATATATATAAATGCTCTGTGCATAATGAGTTCCTTAAAAACAAAAGAACCAATGAACGAAATCACACCAAATTTGGCAACAAAACATCTCACAACACAAGGAGTGACCATCACTCAAAAAATTATGATTTTGTTATTTGGGAATTGTAGTTGCTGGGATTTATAGTTCACCTACAATCAAAGAGCATTCTGAACTCCATCAATGATGGAATTGAACCAAACTTGGCACACAGGATTCCCCTTACCAACAGAAAATACTGGAAGGGTTTGGTGGGCATTGACCTTGAGTTTGGGAGTTGTAGTTCCCCTACATCCAGAGAGCACTGTGGACTCAAACAATGATGGATCTAGACCAAACTTGGCACGAATACTCAACACGCCCAAATATGAACACAGATGGATTTTGGGGGAAATAGACCTTGACATTTAGGAGTTGTAGTCACTGGGATTCACAGTTCACCTACAAGCAAAGAGCATTCTGAACCCCACCAACGACAGAATTGGGGCAAACTTCCCACACAGAACCCCCATGACCAACAGAAAATACTTAAGGCCATCCAATCCAACTCCCTTCACCAGGGCAAGAAATAGTAATCAAAGCCCTCCCGACAAAGAGCCATCCAGCCATAGATATAGATAGATATAGATAGATATAGATAGATATAGATAGATATAGATAGATATAGATAGATATACAGAGGAGATATGATAGCCATGTATAATATGTGAGAGGAAGCCACAGGGAGGAGGGAGCAAGCTTGTTTTCTGCTTCCCTGGAGACTAGGACGCGGAACAATGGCTTCAAACTACAAGGGAGGAGATTCCATCTGAACATTAGGAAGAACTTCCTGACTGTGAGAGCTGGTCATCAGTGGAACTCTCTGCTCCAGAGTGTGGTGGAGGCTCCTTCTTTGGAAGCTTTTAAACAGAGGCTGGATGGCCATCTGTCAGGGGTGATTTGAATGCAATATTCCTGCTTCTTGGCAGGGTGTTGGACTGGATGGCCCATGAGGTCTCTTCCAACTCTTTGATTCTATGATTCTACGATATGATTCGCACACACACAGAAAAAGTATTATAGAGCCATCCAGCGATAGATATATATGATTCACACACAGATATAGTATAGATTTGAAAGGGACCCCTAAAGATGGACAATTATATGTTGTATGTTCCAGAGTAGGCAAACCAGACAATCTCTATGTCAACACTGTCAAAGAAACATCAAGAAATACTGTTTACCCATAAGCAGAAAGAAAATACATATATTCGAAACCAGCACTTTCTAATTCCTTTATTTTCCATATCACCTGACTGGGCCACAGCAACGTGTGGCACGGGACCGCTAGTATAGATATACAGATAGCCCTCTATGGCTTTCGTGGTCTTTTCCCCTATGCTTTGAATCCTTCACTGACAGCAGAGTGCCCTGCAAAAGACAGCTTATAATTGACAATATCCAGGACACACAAGCCTTTGAACCTCAAAACCCTTTTTGCTCAGTGCAACCCCACCCTCTGCCTCAGCCACGGCAAGCCACGGATCTTTCAAGTAGCAGAAACTGGAATGCCTTCTCAGGATGCAGATCGTATTCCTCCCCAACACACACATCTCCTACCGACCGACCGGAGCCCGGCCTCTTCATCATCCACCTCTTGGCAAGAGCCTTCCAATCCCAAGTGTCAACCCCTCCTCCCCCGAATTCCTTTTTGTCTGCTTACCTCTCCCTCTCCTAAGCAGCCATGAATTATAAACAGACACCTCCCAGAAAAGCCTGGAAGAAGCACAGTTGGAACAGCAGCTCTGGCCGTTCCCAGAGACAACCCTATACCTTAAGAGGGAGAGGGAGAGGAACAGCTTGGAAACCACACATTTCCCGGCGAACGGAGAAAGAGACCAACCTGTTACACAAACATTTCAGAGTTGTCCGTCAAAACCAAGATCAGCCTTGGGCCTTGGAAGGGGTGGGTTCAAAACCACGGCATCAATGCCACAGATCTTCCTGGGTGAGGCAAACCTCAGTCTTCCCCACCTGCAAAATAGGAATAATCCCATTTGAAACATTCCCACTGACCTCCAACAGACAAGAGTTCTTTCTCCCATCCTGATATATAAACACACATTTCCTAGTTTCCAACAGACCTCATGGATGCTGCCATGGATGCAGGCGAAACGTCAGGAGAGAATGCTTCTAGAACAGTGGTTCTCAACCAGTGGTCCCCATAAGTTTTTGGCCTACATCTCCCAGAAATCCCAGCCAGTTTACCAGCTGTTAGGATTTCTGGGAGTTGAAGGCTTAAAATATCCGGGGACCCCAGGTTGAGAACCACTGTTCTAGAACATGACGATACAGCCCGAAAAACCTCCAACAACCCAATCCCATTTGACTTTAGAATCTCCTTGGAGGAAATACAGGCACAAATATAACCTGGTAGAAGCATTTTACTCAGGACATAGTAGAATCATAGAATCATAGAGTTAAAAGAGACCTCATGGGCCATCCAGTCCAACCCCATTCTGCCAAGAAGGAGGAAAATTGCATTCAAAGCACCCCTGACAGATGGCCATCCAGCCTCTGTTTAAAAGCTTCCAAAAAAGGAGCCTCCACCACACTCCAGGGCAGAGAGTTCCACTGCTGAACAACTCTCATAGTCAGGAAGTTCTTCCTAATGTTCAGATGGAATCTCCTTTCTTGTAGTTTGAAGCCATTGTTCTGCGTCCTAGTCTCCAAGGAAGCAGAAAACACGCTTGCTCCCTTCTCCCTATGACTTCCTCTCACATACTTATACATGGCTATCATGTCTCCTCTCAGCTTTCTCTTCTGCAGGCTTAACATGCCCAACTCTTTAAGCCGCTCCTCATAGAGCTTGTTCTCCAGAACCAAGAACAGCGAATGTAATGCAATACAATAATAATATGATATTATAATGTATATATTTATATTACATGTAATATTACTAATAATATTACAATATAATGATACAATACAATATAGTAATATTTAATACTGATACTGTACTATGCTAATAATATAATATATTGTATGTATATATATCTTGTAAGCCGCTCTGAGTCCCCTTATAACATATACGTATAAACATCATAAATACATAAATCTATATAAATAAAAATGTAATGTTCCTTTGTAGGATTAACAGAAATCAAAAACCACTGGACGAATTGACACCAAATTTGGACACAAGACACCTAACAACCCAATGTATGTCCTTCACTCAAAAAAACGGAAAATCAAATCTTAATATTTGGGAGTTGTGGTTGCTGGGATTTATAGTTCCCCTACAATCACAGAGCATTCTGAACTCCACCAACGATGGAACTGAACCAAACTTGGCACACAGTTCTCCCATGACCAACAGAAAATACTGGAAGGGTTTGGTGGACAGTGTCCTTTGGTTTTGGAGTTGTAGTTCACCTACATCCAGAGATCACTGTGCTCAAACAATATTGAATCTGGACCAAACTCTACACGAATACTCAATATGCCCAAATGTGAACACTGGTGGAGTTTGGGGAAAATAGAATTTTGACATTTGGGAGTGGTAGTTGCTGGAATTTATAGTTCACCTACAATAAGAGAGCACTCTGAACCCCACCAACAATAGAACTGGCCCAAACCTCCCACACAGAACCCCCATGACCAATAGAAAATACTTAAGGCCATCCAGTCCAACTCCGTTCACCAGGGCAAGAAAACATAATCATAAAGAAATTACATATATTAGAAACCAACATTTTCTCATTACTTTATTTTCCAGATCACCAGACTAGGCCACAGCAATGTGTGGCAGGGGATGGCTAGTCTATATAAATAAAAATGTAATGTTTGTTTGTGGGATTAACAGAACTCAAAAACCACTGGACGAATTGACACCAAATTTGGACACAAGGCACCTAACAACACAATGTATGTCCTTTACTCCAAAAAATTGATTTTGTCATTTGGGAGTTGTAGTTGCTGGGATTTATAGTTCACCTACAATCAAAGTATTCTGTATTCTGAACCCCACCAACGATAAAATTGGGCCAAACCTCCCACACAGAACCCTCATGTGGGCCACAGCAATGCGTGGCAGGGGGGCGGCTAGTAATAGAATATATTGTATGTATATATATCTTGTCAGCCGCTCTATATGTGAAAAGGGCGACATATAAATGTCGTAAGTAAATAAATAAAAAATAAATATTGTCTAGAGTGAGTTGGATGAAGGGGGGAAATGATAAATGCACGGAGGAGCAACAAATCCCATCCAAGAAGAAAACCCCAATCACCACCCACCAACTTGACCCAATTCCCAGAGCTCAGGGATCTCCCCGCAATCCCTCCTCTCTCAGATCCCACTCCTTTGAGGCAAGGCAGCGTAAGGCAACACAGCCAGGAGAAGAAGGGGTTTGGTGGCCAATTTGGGGCTGCTGGAAGGAAGGGAAGGAAATAATCTTCCCACCGCCAGGCAAACAAATGGACCAATTGGCAGACCCCACAATACAACCGCAAGATCAGCTTGGAAAAAGGGGGGAGAGGGATGAGAATGGATGCCTGCTACCTTGCTAAGCCTGCTCCCCACCCACCCTAAAACAAATCTACTCCAGCTGGAGAGTGATGGGCGTTAGCCAGCTTTCTCCACCCTAGATCCAGGGCAAAGGAAGCAAAGCAATGGAAGGGGAGGGGGGTGAAGAGAAGAGAAAGGAGTTGAGCCTTACTTCCAATCCAATCTATATAAATAAAAATGTAATGTTGGTTTGTGGGATTGACATAACTCAAAAACCACTGGATGGATTGACACCAAATTTGGACACAATACACTTGTCAGGTTAAGGAGTGACCATCACTTATAAAAATACTAAAAAAACACATCAGAAGGGAGTTAAAAAGCCAAAAAATTAAAAAAATAAATTACAACACATGCACAAAACCACATATATACAGACATAAATACATATATATAGACACACACATATATACATACACAAAATACATACACACACATATACACATATATACATACACAAAATACATATATACACATACATACATACATACACAAAATACATATACACACACACACATATACACATACATACATACACAAAATACATACACACACATATACACATACATACATTCACAAAATACATATACACACACATATACACATACATACATACACAAAATACATATACACACACATATATACACATACATACATACACAAAATACATATACACAGATTGGGCCACAGCAAAGCCTGGCAGGGGATGGCTAGTAGGATATAGATCCTCAAAATCCTGAAGTGGGGGATCACCCCCTCATTGACTTACCTGTTTCACACACAGAGAGACACCCCATTTCCTTCTTGCAATGGGAAAAGGGGGATCTATCAACCCTGCTTGGAATAGGGGGGTTTTTTGAAAGGAAGGAGCACAAAAGGGGGCAACAGATGGGGCGCCTGTCTGGCAAAGGAGGGAAAAAAGGAAGCAGGGACGCGCCCCCAGTTAAGGAAAGGGGAAAAGATCCAAATAGGGAGGCTGCTTCTCTTTTTTCCTCGTCGTCAACCCCTCACCCAAGCCCGCCTCGCTCTCCCACATCCCCCTATGCGCGGATATGGGGGGTCTACCTGCTTCCAAGGATGCCTCCTTTTCCACAGCACACACACACCCCTCCGCCGCTGTTGCTCGGCGTCTGCTCCCGCCCCGGCCGGTCTGCGCCCTTTAAAGGCGGACGGAACCATTCCGCGCCCAAGGGGGAGGGAAGTGGGTTAGGAAAGATGTCGGAAAGAGACCCTTCCCCACCTTCCTTCCCAGAGTTGGGCAATCCCTTCTCCTTCGAGCCCCTCTCCTGAGTTTCCTCCTCTACAGGGAAAGGTACCACGTCCCCTCTCTGCCTTAGTCCTCGTTGCCATGCACGCCCACCACCACCCCTTCCCTGAAAGTGGTACAGCCCGGGCACTCATTCATCCCAGACCCCTCGAGCAGGGGCCAGTTGGGGAGAGAGGCTCGAGGTGTTTACTGCTGGGAGGTGGATATATATGTGTGTGTATGGTGGGGGGTGCTTTTTGTTTCCAACGTGGAAGCAGGAGGAGGTGAAAAAACCCACTCTCCCCTATTTGTTTTTGTTTTGCAAAGGGATGCTTCGCCCTGTTGCTTGCCAAAAGGGCTGCCAAAGCACTCGCGGCTTGAGAGTGGGAAGAAACACGCGAGAGCTCATTGGCTAGGAAATTGAGAGCAGAGAGAGAGAGAGCCAGGACTCCTGAGCCTTGGCTTTTCCAGTGGAGCTCTCTTCCTCTTGATGCACACTTTAAGCCCCCCAAAATAATATAGATGTATACCAGTATTATTATTGTACACAACAAGATGAATCCACAGCAGACACTCTACTGGCTGTTGTATTGGATCACACGTCAGACACATCCCAAGTGTCTAGGACAGTGTTTCTCAACCTGGGGGTCGGGACCCTTGTGGGGGTCGCGAGGGGGTGTCAGAGGGGTCGCCAAAGACCATCAGAAAACATAGTATTTTCTGTTGGTCATGTGGGTTCTGTGTGGGAAGTTTGGTCCAATTCTATCGTTGTTGGGGTTCAGAATGTTATTTCATTGTAGGTGAACTATAAATCCCAGCAACTACAACTCCCAAATGTTAAGGTCTATTTTTCTCAAACTCCTCCAGTGTTCACATTTCAGCATATTGAGTATTCGTGCCAAGTTTGGTCCAGATCCATCACTGTTTGAGTCCACAGTGCTCTCTGGATGTAGGTGAACTACAACTCCAAAAATTCAAGGTCAATGTCCACCAGATCCTCCCAGTGTTTTCTCTTGGTCATGGGAGTTCTGTGTACAAAATTTGGTTCAATTTCATCATTGGTGGTGTTCAGAATGCTCTTTGACTTTAGGTGAATTATACATCCCAGCCACTAAAAATGACAAAATCAGTCGTCCCCCCACACCCCGTCCCCCACACACACAACCCCACCAGTATTCAAATTTGGGCATATTGGGTATTTGGGATTTGAAAATACATCTTGCATATCAGATATTTACATTACGATTCATAACGGTAGCAAAATTACAGTTACGAAGTAGCAATGAAAATGTTATGGTTGGGGGTCACCACAACGTGAGGAACTGTACTAAGGGGTCACGGCATTAGGGAGGTTGAGAACCACTGGTCTAGGACATTATTATTATTATTTTAGGGTGCTTTAGAGTTTCAGAAAAACATCTACTTCTGTTTCATTGACTATTCTAAAGCCTTTGACTGTGTGGATCATAATAAATTGTGGCAAGTTCTGGGTGGGATGGGCATCCCAAGCCACCTTGTCTCTGAGGAATCTGTACAAGGACCAAGTAGCAACAGTAAGAACTGATCACGGAACAACAGACTGGTTCAAGATTGGGAAAGGTGTACGGCAAGGCTGCATACTCTCGCCCAACCTTTTAAACTTGTATGCAGAACACATCATGCGATGTGCGGGGCTTGATGAATGCAAAGCTGGGGTGAAAATTGCTGGAAGAAACATTAACAACCTCAGATATGCAGATGACACCACTCTGATGGCCGAAAGCGAGGAGGAGCTGAGGAGCCTTCTAATCAAGGTGAAAGAAGAAAGCGCAAAAGCCGGGTTGCAGCTAAACATCAAAAAAACCAAGATCATGGCAACAAGAATGATTGACAACTGGAAAATAGAGGGAGAAAATGTGGAGGCCGTGACAGACTTTGTATTTCTAGGTGCAAAGATTACTGCAGATGCAGACTGTGGCCAAGAAATCAGAAGACGCTTACTTCTTGGGAGGAGAGCAATGTCCAATCTCGATAAAATAGTAAAGAGTAGAGACATCACACTGGCAACAAAGATCCGCCTAGTCAAAGCCATGGTATTCCCTGTAGTAACCTACGGATGTGAGAGCTGGACCTTAGGGAAGGCTGAGCAAAGGAAGATCGATGCTTTTGAACTGTGGTGTTGGAGGAAAGTTCTGAGAGTGCCTTGGACTGCGAGAAGATCCAACCAGTCCATCCTCCAGGAAATAAAGCCCGGCTGCTCACTGGAGGGAAGGATACTAGAGACAAAGTTGAAGTACTTTGGCCACATCATGAGGAGACAGCAAAGCCTAGAGAAGACAATGATGCTGGGGAAAGTGGAAGGTAAAAGGAAGAGGGGCCGACCAAGGGCAAGATGGATGGATGGCATCCTTGAAGTGACTGGACTGACCTTGAAGGAGCTGGGGGTGGTGACGGCCGACAGGGAGCTCTGGCGTGGGCTGGTCCATGAGGTCACGAAGAGTCAGAAACGACTGAACAAATGAACAACAACAACACAACAAGATGAGTCCACAGCAGACACTCTACTGGCTGCAGTATTGGATCACACGGACACTTCCCAAGTGTCTAGGACATTATTATTATTATTTTAGGGGGCTTTAGAGATTATATATGTGTGTGTGCATGTGTGTATGAATATATATATATATATAGAGAGAGAGAAAGAACTAGAATGAAATAATAACATAATAGATACAGATATATAAAATTATTATTATTTTAGGGGGCTTTAGAGATATATGTGTGTGTGCGTGTGTGTATAAGTATATATACGTATATATAGAGAGAGAAAGAACTATTATGGATTTACATATACTTCATGAGGAGACAGGAAAGCTTAGAGAAGACAATGATTCTGGGGAAAATGGAAGGAAAAAGGAAGAGGGACGACCAAGGGCAAGATGGATGGATGGCATCCTTGAAGTGACTGGATAGACCTTGAAGGAGCTGGGGGTGGTGACGACCAATAGGGAGCTCTGGCGTGGGCTGATCCATGAGGTCACAAAGAGTTGACAACGACTGAATGAATGAACAACAAATATATATATGAATGAAATAATAAGTAACAAAATAATAGATAAAGATATATAAAATTATTATTATTTTAGGGGGCTTTAGAGATCGTATATATGTGTGTGTGTATATATATATCGAACTACCATTATGGAAAATATATATATATATATATATATATATATATATATATAATATCGACCTACCATTATGGAATATATATATATATAAATGAAATAATAAAATAATAGATATATAGATTTATACGTGTGTGTGCATGCGTGTGTGTGTGTGCATGTGTGTGTGTGTATGTATATGTGTATATATATATATATATATATATATATATATATATATATTATGTGTGTGCGTGTGCACGCGTATATGTATATTCGTTTGTGGGATTAACATAACTCAAAAACCACTGGACGAATTAACACCAAATTTGGCCACAAGACACCTAACAGCCCAACAAGTGACCATCACTCATAAAAACACTGAAAAACACAGCATCTTCAGTGGTTGTGAGGTCTGTGGAAAACTAGGCAAGTGAGGTTTATATATCTGTGGAATGATGCCCAGGGTGGGAGAAAGAACTCTTGTCTGCTTGAGGCAAGTGTGAATGTTGCAAATGGCCACCTTGATTAGCACTGAATGGCCTTGCAGCTTCAAAGCCTGGCTTCTTCCTGCCTGGGGGAAATCCTTTGTTGGGAGGTGTTAGCTGGACCTGATTGTTTCCTGTCTGAGTGCTTTTGAGTATTTACCATCCTGATTTTAGAGTTTTTTTAAACACTGGTAGCCAGGTTTTGTTCATTTTCATGGTTTGTATGAAAATGGTTCATACAACCATTTTCGTATATTTTGGCAAATGGTAGATTTGCATGAAACCCAAAGGAGTGGATTGACAATAAATCAGGTAATATATATATCTATATATATAGAGAGAGAGAGCGTATGCATGTATGTGTGTATATATATATATATACACACACACATAGATCATTTATGTCTATATCTTTTATAAAAATGAAATGAAAAATATAAAAATGAAATTATATATATATATTTCATTTTTAGGGGGAGTTTAGTATCTTCTCTATGTATATGCATTATATGCATATATAGCATGAAGATAGAGAGAAAGTGAACGATGCGCCCCCTAGTGGAGTAAGGAAGAAACCAGGGGAATGTTGCTCCTTAAAGAAGAAGTAGTGCAGAAGGATTGGAAAAATCATGCACTAGTTGAATGCATGGCCCTCTGCACCTTTGTGGTTGATGATTGTGGTGTGCCTTCAAGCCCTTTCCGGCCCCTGAGGTTTGGCGGAGGCCTGCCTTTGCCCTTCCGCTGAGGTTGAGAGAGTGGCCCTTTCCACAGAGCTATATAAAATCCACATTGAACAGGATAATATGGCAGTGTGGACTCAGATAGAATCATAGAGTTGGAAGAGACCTCATGGACCATCCAGTCCAACCCCCTGCCAAGAAGCAGGAATATTGTTTTCAAAGCAACCCTGACAGATGCCCATCCAGCCTCTGTTTAAAAGCCTCCAAAGAAGGAGCCTCCACCACACTCTGAGGCAGAGAGTTCCACTGCTGAACGGCTCTCACAGTCAGGAAGTTCTTCCTCATATTCAGATGGAATTTCCTTTCTTGAAGTTTGAAGCCATTGTTCCGCGTCCTAGTCTCCACGGAAGCAGAAAACAAGCTTGCTCCCTCCTCCCTATGACTTCTTCTCACATATATATACATGGCTATCATATCTCTTTTCACCCTTCTCTTCTTCAGGCTAAACATGCCCAGCTCCTTAAGCCGCTCCTCATAAGGCTTGTTCTCCAGACCCATTTTAGTCACCCTTGAGATAATCCAGCTCAAAGCAGATCTTGCATATTA